CCCCGGAGCCATGGCCGCGCTCGGCCACCCCGCCGCCTTCGGCCGGGCCACGCACGCCGTGGTGCGGGCGCTGCCCGAGTCCCTGGTCCAGCACGCGCTGAGGCGCGCCAAGGGCGACGAGGTGGATTTCGCCCGCGCCGAGCGGCAGCACCAGCTCTACGTGGGCGTCCTGGGCAGCAAGCTGGGGCTGCAGGTGGTGGAGCTGCCGGCCGACGAGAGCCTCCCGGACTGCGTGTTCGTGGAGGACGTGGCCGTGGTGTGCGAGGAGACGGCCCTCATCACCCGCCCCGGGGCGCCGAGCCGGAGGAAGGAGGTAACTGCCCGCGCGGCGACGGGAGGGGCGCGGCCGGGGCAGCGCGCCGGGCCCTCCGCTGCCGCCCGCGCCGAGTTGCCGGGGCAATCGCAGAATTGGCCCCCGGGCGAGTTCACATCTTCCCATTGCGGGGAGAGGGGGTGTGTGTGAGACCGTCAGAGAGAGAGAAGTTCATTGTTCACGCCTTCCGGCTGTCGGTGCAGCTTGCGTGCCTTCGAGAAAACCCGATTGAGTGTGGTTGTGCGGACTCGGGCAGGTGGGTGGGGTGGGGAATCCATCTCACAAGCAATTTTATTTGTAAAGATTGAACAGCAGCAAAGACCATGCAGTGCAACTCCCGGAGAGCGGGGGCAGGGAGGGGGCCGCTCCAGGCGGGCGGGTGCAGGCTCGGCGAGGGCTCCAGGGGCAGCGCCAGTTGGTGGCACTGAAGCCCCCAAGTCCTGCCTGGGGCTGGCAGCAGGGCGGGCCAGATAAATTAAGGGGGTGTGGATGCCCAGAGACCTAGGACATCGGGAGTTACTTTTCAGTGGTGGCGAGTGAGTCCTGCAGAAAGGGACTGGCAAGTGAATGAATGTAAGGAGAGTGGTTGGGTGGCGAGCTGTGGTCAGCGTGCCCGTGAATAGGCTAGGTTTGAAAAGCTGTACTCGGTGTGGGGTGTTGGGTGTGTGCATGTGTGTGTGTGGTTAATTAGAAATGATTGTTTCACAAATTCCATAATTTTTATTCTCTATATTTTTAAACTCATGGCAATTAGAGCTTTTTGTGTTCTCAAGGGATAGTAACTACTTTAAAATATTGCAGCTTGTGAAAATGGTTGTGATTGCTTTAAACACAAGGTGGGTTAGTGGGGAGAGACAAATAGAGTGAGATTGGATTTTAAAATGCCATCTGGCCTGGGATTCTTCTCATTGCCCGATAAGAGCCCAGGCTCGAGACTGTCCGTTGCCGTTGGCATCAAGTGGCATTGCAAGAAGCTGGTGGTTTCTTTCATATCTGGAGCATTAGGGATTTTTTTTTTTTTTCTGTTCTGTCTTTATTCAATTCACATTGGAAATGCCTCATAGAGCTTATTCTACACATGCTTCACAACTTGGTTGATAGAACCTTACATGGTCCCAGAGAATAAGCTTATTCCATTTATTTCTCACTGAGATTATTAGCTTTTTTTCACCCTATCTTAGCAGAAAACCAAGAGTAGCAGGTCTCATTCTCTTAGCTCTTTTATCTCCTTTGCCACACCTCTCCATCTTGGAGGTTGTGAGATGACCTACTCTAGTTTAAACTAATAAGCATGTAAACCCATTTGAATACTTTCTAATGTGTCCTGGGCCATATGGCAGAGCTGTGATTTGTTCTTTTTTTTTTTTTTGGCGAAGAAGATTAGCCCTTAGCTAACATCCGTTGCCAATCCTCATATCTTTGCTGAGGAATATTGACCCTGGGCTAACATCCATGCCCATCCTTGTCCACTTTATATGTGGGACACCTGCCACAGCATGGCTTGATAAGCGGTGTGTATGTCTGCACCCAGGACCTGAACCTGCAAACCCCGGCCCCGAAGCAGAGTGTGCGAACTTAACCGCTATACCCCCCGGGCTGGCCCCTGTGGTTTGTTCTTAAAAGAGTAAAATAGATTTCAAAAACCCTTTCAAAATGGTGCTCATTTGATGAGGGTAGTCCAATTTCCTGTAAAGAGACCATTGCTTATTGAATCATCTATTTCATTTTATTACTATAATAAAACCTTCCAGATTTTGGCCTTCTGGTACTAAAGTGGGAGTGATCTTCCTGCCCTGTCAGAGTTTGAGGCATATATTTTAAATTGGCTTCACTCTTATATCAGCCTGGTGGCCCACTGCCAGAGGCCACATGGTGCAGTGGATAAGAACATCAGACTGGATCTAATTCTGTGACGTTGAGGAGTGTCTCTTGCCTCAGTTTTCTCACCTGTAAAGTGGACATATTAATACCTATTTCGTAGAGTTGTTGTAATAAATTTATTAATCCATCTGAAATTTATGGAACAGGACATTTCAGGAATGTTGGTTGTTATTACTCACTTAACAATGGGTCATGGAAGATTTACTCCTTCTGGAGCAGTAAGAAATCTGCTGTACACTGATGTAGTTACAGTGACATTTCCCCTTCCTAGGGTGAAAGGGAGTTATCTTCACGCCTTAGTTTCCATTCTAATCTGCTGTGTAGCACTGCCTCCCAGCTTGAGTTTCCTGCTGCTGTGTGGTCTCTCCCCAGAACGCTTTTGCCATTGCACGTGATCTGGATAACCAGAGTAACAGACCTTCCAGCCAGGGAGAGGCATACGGGCAGTCGTGTTGGATGGGGTGCTTCTGGAAAACAGGGCTGTGCAGGGTAGCTAACTCTCTTCGAAATCTCTCACCCACCAGTTTGCTGCCTTAGTTGGTGTTAATGCGTGCTTTGTGAGTGAATGAACAACTGAAATGAATAAAATGCTAATTAGCTAATACCAGTAAGTTGATTATAATTACTTCAGAGCCCTTGCTGGACTGTTACATATGTTTTTCATGTGACACCTGCCTCACTAACTGTGAAGTTCCACAACAGCCAAGGCATTATTTAAAAGTTATTATTACTGGGGCTGGCCCCGTGGCTTAGCAGTTAAGTGCACGTGCTCCGCTACTGGCCACCCAGGTTCGGATCCCGGGCGCGCACCGACGCACCGCTTCTCCGGCCATGCTGAGGCCGCGTCCCACATGCAGCAACTAGAAGAATGTGCAGCTATGACATACAACTATCTACGGGGGCTTTGGGGGTAAAAAGGAGGAGGATTGGCAATAGATGTTAGCTCAGAGCTGGTCTTCCTCAGCAAAAACAGGAGGATTGGCATGGATGTTAGCTCAGGGCTGATCTTCCTCACCAAAAAAATAAAATAAAAATAAAGATTATTATCACTGATCTCCTTGCCTCTTGTCTCCTCACTCTCCTACACTGTAGCCAAGCTGGTCTTTCTAACACTCAAATCTGAGTGTGTCCCTCTTCTGACTAAAATTCTTTAGGGGCCTCCGCTGAGCTTGATAAACCAGTTGAGCTGGGTTCTGCTTGCCTTTCCAGCTTCAGCTGCTTGTCTGACCCCACCCCAGGTGCCTGCCAACCCTTGGCTCGAGCCACCTCAGGCTCACCATGCTGTTGCTTTTCTGGGTACACGTTTCTCCTTTGCCTCGGGCGCTCTTCCTCCTTCCTCTCCTCCATTTTACCTGGCTGCTCCTACTCACGCTTTAGTTCTCAGCTTCCTGTTGTCATTAATATTACTAGCTAGTCTTTCTTGGGTGCTTGCCATTTGCCAGACATTGTGCCGGATTTATGACATGCATTTCATTGAATGCTCACATAAACTCTTTGAGCTCAATACTCTCATTATTCCTATTTTAAAGTTGATGAAACTGAGGCTTAGGGAGATTAAATAAAGTGGTCAAGGTTATAGAGTGGAACCAGTGAAACCAGGATTGCAACTCAGGTTTACAGCACTCTAAAGTTCTAGTCCCAACCACTGGGACATTAGACATCACCTTCCCAAGCCTAGGACTGGTTCTCCTTTTATGAGTTCCTGTAACTCTCTGTACTCCCTTTTATGGTATTTATCCTACCATGTGGTAATTGTCTGTTTACCTTTCTGTATCCCCCACTATTATGAAAACTGTGAGGGCAGGGATCATGCCTGCATTGTTCAACATTTTATCCCCAGGGCCTTGCACACAGCAGTCATGCTGCAAATATTTTGTTGAACAAATGTGTCCATGATTTTAGGTCAACCTTAGTTTTCCCTCCTTATGACATTTTTGGTGTTTTGCAAGCATTCCCAATTAGTAGGGTCCCAACAGTTTTCTTACAAGTATAGATAGTTTATAACTGTTTTTCTCTCCCTCTCCCTTTCCCTGTCTTTGTCTCTTGTTTTTGTTTTGTTCTTATAAAAATCCTGAGAAGTTTCTTCTTAATCAAAACATCATGCTAGGGCCGGCTCCGTGGCTTAGCGGTTAAGTGCGCGCGCTCTGATGCTGGCGGCCCGGGTTCGGATCCCGGGAGCGCCCCGAGGCACCACTTCTCCGCCCAACGTGAGGCCGAGTCCCACGTACAGCAACTAGAAGGATGTGAACCTATGACATACAACTATCTACTGGGGCTTTGGGGGGAAAAAACTGAATAAATAAAATCTTTAAAAAAAAAAAAAAAACATCATGCTATATTTAATGACTTTTCTTCCTTGGAAGAAAGGACTGAGAACTCAACTCAAGAAAGTAACTTCTGTGAAAGCTCAGTGTTTGCCACGATGGGGCCTCCAAGGATTAATAAACACAGGCCCTGTCTGTAGGAAGCTTAAGTTTTAGTGAAGAAAACTGTGTATACAGAAAGTCAGCGAATAATGTTAATTGTCTAATAATTCTGTGTCTTTAGGAATACAAAGATTTTAATATGTTTAATACTTTGAAGACAAATAAATTAGCCTTGAGAAACCAATCATATTTTAAATGACTCCAACTTGCTTTTTAGAGGGGGAAAAAGTCAACCTCAAATGTCAAAGTCCTGTAAAGAAATGTCTAAAAGCTGAAATAAGACAAGGGATGGGGTGAAAGGATTGGGTTTTTTTTAAAAAAAAATAAAATTTTTGTATAGATTACACATGCTTGCAGTACCAGACTCAAAAGGTACAAGAGGGTGTGCAGTGAAAGGAAATGTCGCCCCCTGAACCCCACTCTTGTACCTGACTGCCAGTTCCCTTCCTTAGAGGCAACTACTAATGCCATTTTCTTGCATTTCCTTCCAGGTTTTTAGTACCTAGTAAATGATTAACAGTCAAAGCTTCCTCAAGCAAACTTGTGAAATACATCCTGTGCCCTTTCGCCCTCTTTCAGAGCCATTTTATCCTTTCCCGGACACCGCGTATTAGTACTTGGGATATTCTGTCTAGGAGGAAAACCACACAAACTCATTCTAACAAAGTGATAATGGCTTTAATTATCCTGTCC